CCACCAAAAATGTGTTGAATCAATACATTAACTTATTTTGTCAGCTTATTTATTAATGCTTCAAAAATGTATAGAGAATGTTTAATACTTTAAAGATGTCAATTTTTCACTGTGAGTAACTTTGTCCAGAGCTTCAGCAATACTGTAATTCATTTTCATAAATATTATTCTCTAAATATTCCATTAACTGTATTTAAATTTTTTCTTTGCCCAAAGAGTTACTTAGCATATTATTTAATTTCCTTGTTTTTAGCCATTGTAACAGATCTGAATTCTTAAATGGGGGCCAAATGCATCAAAGTAGGGTCTAATCAAAGAAGAAAGGGAACCCCAAGTTGGTAAATCCCAAAATAATATACTGAGTTTAATACATAGACATACATATTTGGATAAACCCAACTAATGATATTATTAACATCCTCTAAATTGTGTTTTTCTGTTCACTTTTTGGTAGGACTGTTTTGCTCTATGAATTTCAATGCACCAATATTTACTGTAGAAACTCCCTAACAGCCCTCCCTTCACCGTAGACTAAATCTTTCACAGACCAAGTGACTCTCTTTTCCTATTTAATGCTTTTATTCCTTGAATTCAACTTTGTTACTGATATGTGGCACTTATTCTCCTTTAGTCTGCATTTTTCTGGAGTAGGTTGGCTCCATCTAAAATTCCCTTTATTGTGAACCTTTCCTGACTCACTTTGCTCATACGCATCTCTATAAAACAGAACAAAGTTATGGGGTTTTTAAACCTGATTTAAGATTTTTTTCTTTTAATAGCTGGACCTATTCTACTTGTAATCTTGTTGTGATATCTTTCAAAATGAGTTCCACAGTCATATTTTATGTTTTATTTTTCACTAAATACTATTTAGTTTATTTTCTATCTTCTCCTTAACTTTCAAAGTTTTCTTTAAATTTTTGCTCTCTGGTAAAATGAATGTGGTTTTTAATTCTACTAGTGCAATTTCGATATATTTAAACATTACTTAAATTATATTTCTTGATGCATCCATTTCAGAAATTAAATGATCTCTACTGATTCTCATTCATGAACAAAAGAAATTGGTACTTTTATAAGAATTTTATAATTCCTCTCATTGCTATGTTAATCCTTGGTATTTATTGATATAGCCTAAAATTTTATCTCAGTCTATTTGGGTTGCATTATTACAATTTTGTCATTAAAGCACATACATTTCGTTTTGAAAATGAGTTATTTAAGAAAAGCTTTTTAGCTGAGTCAAAATCCCGATCCAATTTTTAAAAACACTGATAAATATTTATAATATACTAACATTTATGGATAAAGGAAGGAATATAAGAAAATATACATGTATCTGCTCATGAGTGCCAAAAAAACTTTTATTTTATTTAATACGTTTGGCTACATTTTACAAGTATGTCAACATCTGTTGCAAGCAATACGGTAGATTAGATAATTTGACATTCCTGAAAAAAGCCATTTTAAAACTATTTAAAGGCTGGATAAAGTATATTTTACAAATCTTTTTTGCCAGGCTGAGAAGAATGGAAGGAATCCACAGAAATCTAAAAGGAAGTAAATAAAGGAACTCCAAGAAATCAGCAAAGTGGTTTTTTTCTTGAGTATCAACCAGAGCCTAGATACACTGACCTTCCCTCAGGAAAGCCACGTGGCTAACAGGACACAAGAGAGAAAACCCGGGACCTCTCTACCTGGGAAGTCTACGAGGAGACCCCTGTATGGGGCTATGTCCTCATCTTACGCTAAAGAGTAAACACACTTACAGCTGCAAGGGCATTACAAGGAAAACAGATTATCTTGAATTTACTGCTGGAGGGAAAATAAAAACCTCCTCTCAGAAATCATAACTATGCATCACGTGCATTTGAGGTTTGAATCCATAACACTTTGCAGTCTGAAAAAAATCGCAATTAGATTATTTAATTAAAATAGTCCTGGATTGGTAGTGCCTTAGGTGACTGGCAAAAATAAACACATATCCCATTTCTAGGAAAGGAACTTCAACACAAACCTCAAGAATATCCAATTAAAAGGGCCCAAAGAAGAATACTATTCACGGCTAAAAACAAACAAACAAACATAAAACACAGGAGCAAATAAGTCACCATCAACCATAAATTCAGAAAGAAGACAAAACAATATAAAAGAGTATACTTAATATATTTCAAGAAATAAAAGATAAGCTTGAAAATATGTCCAGGGAACAAAAAACTAGAATGGAGGACTGAGACCAATCAACAAACAACCAAAAAGTAACTATATTATAGTCAATATATGGAGAGAACATATTTATCAACTTGAATTCTCTATACAGCAAAAATATCTTTCAGGGAAGTGGTGAAATGAAGACACATTCAGACAGACAAAAACTGAGTTTCCCATCGGCGGATTCTCACTAAGGGAAATTCTACGGGATAGAAGAAAAATGAGTCCAAATGGAATACCTGAGATGGCAGAAGAAATGAAGAGCAAAGAAAGTGGTAACTACGTAGACACATCTAAAGAAACACTTGAGTGAACCTCAGACCTCAGACCATATGTCTTCTTCCTACCCACAGAAATCCCAGGGTTAAAGAATAAGGGCCAGTTATCTATGTGGAATACACAAAGGAAAGAATACAGTTAGCAAAACACAGTAATTATCTCCTAAAGTTATCCTCCAGAGAGACAGTCTCTGCCTTCCTGAAGCTTCTAATCTAGTGAGAAAGGCAGATAAGCAACCAATCACAGAAATCAAGGATATATATGTAATTACAGATCCGCTTGAATTCAATGAAGAAGTATATGATATTAAGGAAGCATAACAGACTGGGATCTGACTTATGGATGTCAGAAAAGCTACAGTTTGGCTGTGTACCCTGCTGTTCCGAGGGATACACCATTGAACAAGACACAGCCGTCCCTGAGATGTGAGAGAGAAAGGAGAGAGGAACTGATGACCTGGAGAAAATCACATGGAGTAAATTAACGGCCTTAGGAGTTTAGAATAAGCAGTGACTAAAGCCTGAGAGAATACGACATCTTCCCCTCAATTAAGTTACGAAAGTGAATGGTGAGTAAAAAGTGAAAGACTCAGAATTGGTAGACGTAGAATTACAATTGAGAACGTTGTACATACAAAAGCTTTTTCTAAATCGTGTATTTGAGGAAGCTACTTCACCGAGGTCAACGTATAAAGAAGTCTGCAGACAATAAAGTGAAACATACAGCCAAGTGATGAAGATTAGAGTAGACTGGATTGGAAATTTAAATCCAAGAGCTTTCTGATGCTCTCACACCCGGCAGGCCCAGGGCCTCTGGTTGCTGTCCCTTTTGACCTCTGCAAACGAGTGCTCCCCATCCTCCTCCACACACAGAAGAGGGACATCCCATAGTGGCAGCCTCAGTTCCAAGTTTCACATCACTTCTTTTGAGGGAAACAGCTATAAATGCTGAGTCCAAGATCCAGGTTTCAGCAGAGAATCTGATTGGTCCCAGGAAGTGGGATTGGAAGGAAAAGGTCCCATGATACAAACATGGCTGCCTGGCCAACCCTGTGGTTGTCTGAACATCTCAGGGAAGGAGTAAGGAGATGTGACATCACGATTACACTGAGCTATTATACATATGGATAAATTATAAAAATATCTGCAAATTATATACAAATTTTCTTAAAGGAATTCTTAATTTTTTAATTAAAAAAATCCCAAAATTTTACAACTAAATTTTTAGAATGAACAGGTAAAAGTGAGATCTACTTATTATTTTAGTAGCTTGGCTATTTCAAAATACTACCAGTGTCTGAAATACAGTGAAGGCATTTAGAAGTAGTAGTAATATCTGAATAACTCAATTTAATAAACACTCGTCTGACTGTTTATATGAAAGACACTAGGAGAGATGTTGGTGAATATACGAGTGAAAGAAAAAGGTCCTTGCCCTAAAGAGCTTTTAATTTTGTAACATAATTACAATACAATGGAAAACAAAGGCTGGCAAATGGAGAGGCTCAATTATGAGTAGAGTAAATCAACCAATAAATATTTTTTGTGCAATGACTTCCATGCTTTGCACTACTGTAATGTCGAGTACTGTTAAAAATCCTGCAGTACCTGTGTCTCTATTCCTAGTAACATTTTACATAATACAAATAACACACATTTTGAACACTCAGGAATATGAGTATCACTTTGCACAAATACATGCCAAATCTCAAATAACAATGCCTAACAGTAAGAAATACACAGTAAAAGTTTGCCAAATCAATGTGTAAGTGGGTTTTCTATATTTAAGCTATGAGTATAAGTTTTATCGGCCCAGAATATTATTCTAAAACATGTTATGTACATGTTTTTAATACCATAACAAAACTCAAAAGCCAGTAACTGACTGTCTCGAAATACTTTTGAAAGTGCATGTATACGCCACACTGGACAGTGGGCTGTACTTTAGGTTAAAGCAGAAGCACAGAGCCCAGCCTGTTCCTCTGAAGACTGGAGCAGGTAGACCTGAATGGGCCGGACCATGAACCAGGCTGAGCCACGGCCACGGAGCTTAGAGACCAAGAGTTAACAATTCCATCACGGCACTTTCAGAGTCCTCTTAAAAAAACATTAAAAATCACATCAAAAACGTTGAACTTTTGTTCTCATTTTATCCTCCTGCGGATTGTGTGTAGAAACGGGCACAGGCTGTCCACGACGACACCAGGCAAATGGCACTGAAAGAACTTCCTTACAAAACAGTTGAGTCTAGAAATGCCATTCATAAGAGAGGAGACCACAAACCAACACCAAACAATAAGGACGTTATAAAATCTCATGCCTACATGTTGCCATGTTGCTAAAACTCTGAGCTGGTAATAACCACATATAGAAACGAAATACAAAATCAGCTTAAAATACTTAATTACAACACATCTGTCAAATTGTTTGCAACATAACACTTTATCTTTTTAATAAAGCTAATGACATTTTTCTTATCTACAGCACCAAAATCTAAATTTAGGTACTTACATTATTGCACTCTCCAAGGAAATACAGTGCAAATCCATCAGCTTTTGTGGCTGCCAAAGTAATAAGAAAGGAAGAAACTAATCTCAATAGAAGAATATAACATGTATGAATTCTCTAAGGTGAGCCCTCAGATAGGAGTCTTTTGAATGCATTTGTTAACATAATTAATGGTCGTGCAGTAAACTGAACAAAATAATTCACGGCTTAATTCAATTAAGTAGAATATTCTCATTTATTTTTTCATCAGCTATTGCAAATGTTACGATGTGACATCCTCAAATGCATATCCAGCAGTCAAGGTACTGTGAAAGAATGTATTTGTCAAACTTTAAATAGCAGAATTATCGGAAAATATTTTTGAAATTTGAGAACTGTATTTAATTTTTTAAGTATTAAAAAATACCAGAAGTGATTTTCATAGTATTAAATAACCATTATAAGTATCAACAAGGATAATGTACACATCTACATATCATCACCGAAGAGAACATAATTTAACTCTTCTAAAACTGCTTCTGGGTCATCTGAAGGCAATTATCAGAGCAGTTAATAGATCATTCTTGAGGGAGCACCTGCATATAAACCCCTGCGTAAGTCCTTCCACCTGGGTGGCCCTGGGTAAGCTATTTGGCCTGTCTTTGCCAAGGCTTCCTCATTAGCAAAACAGTGATAATGACACATAAATTTGTCATCTCTCCAAGTAAATTTAAAATGTTTTTTCTTCCTTAAAAATTAATGATTCCTTTTCTAAAGATGTGATATAATTCACTAAAACTGTACTTTCCACAGAACACCAGGTTTTAATTAGAAGTCATAGTATATTCCATTTATACATCAGGAAGATGCTTTTTTGGGATCAGATAACTTAGCAATTTTTAGGTTTGACTCATTCTGGTAGTTTCAGAATAAAATATTTTCACTTCAAACATAGCCCGAGAATTGAAGTAAATAAATGACTTGCATTTGCCTCTTAGTATGTGAATTATTTTTGCCACTTTTTGCAACGGAATAAAAGAATTCTTGGTTCATTTTTTTCTACCAAGAGGAATACAAAACATTCCTTACCTATTTTAATGATGCTACTCAGTTCATAGAGGAGAAGCTGGTTGTCTCCCCCAGTATCCAGCCGCTGTTCTATATAGCTGTTAAGTTCATATACAACTCCCTGCATATTCGTATCTTGGTACTTTGAATAAAAAAATAAAAAGAAAGGGCATAATTAAACATAATAAAACAAAAATTCCTTAGTTTGTAAAACATACTATTAATATATTTAATGTTATTACTAGCTGTTGATTATGCTTTTATAGAACATGATTTAAATACCATAATTTACTATAAAAATAGATTGAAAATTTAAATTGCTACGACTTACTAAGAATATCTATAGACTCCACGTAGGCTTATTTATATTAAAATATCAAATGTTACAGATTATGACTGTTTCTGAAGTTTTGTAAATAATGTATCAGGCAACTTGATCAGTAAAAATAGTATAAAAGTTTGCTAACTGAAGGAAATATTGTGACAAGCTAGAAGAGTCACCAGTATGCACTGCACTGGGTGAAACAAAGTTTGTTATTACTCTCCAGTTATTTGCATCAATGTGGCTGCCACCCTAGTCGGATCTCAAATATGCCACTAAAACAGGAGGAAGAGGTGTGCACTCCAGCCGCCCCTGCGGGAGCAGCCGTCGCACAAGTCCAGAGCACTAGGCTTTATCGTGGTACCAGGGACAACAGCAGGGGGACAAGGGGTTTGGGAAGACGGTGGAAGCTAAATCTCAGCTACTCCCAGCACAAGCTACCACTGTGTGTCTTCTCTACAAGTACTGAAAAACAGTCTTCTAACAAATTGCCCCGCTCCCAAGCTTGCCTCCTCTCCAAACAACAGCCACGGCAAACTTTAAAAATAAAATAAAACTCTGTCATTTCCTGGGTTAAAATAGTCCTGGGCCTTCCCGTTTCACTTAGAATAACCGACAAACTCCTCACAGAGTGGCCTCCCACACTCTACAAAATGTGGTGTCTGTCTGCCTCGGAAACTGTCTCAAGCCACCTGTCTCTCTCTTGACCACCCAGACATCTTTCACTCCTAAGGCTGATGACTTGCTGTTATTGGGTACTCAATAAACATCTGCGGAAGGAATAAACAAACGAAAGAATGGATGAATCAATCAATCATTTCCCAAATATGTACCAGCAATCCTGACAATCTTCTACATGCAGGCACTCTTCTAGACATGAGAGACACTAGAGGATGAGCAAAATAAAATTCCAGTCCTTGAGGAACTTACAGTCCAGTTGGAAGAGAATAAATAGGGAAACTATATGGTGTGACGGAAGGCGACAGGTGCTATGCAGAAAGCGGGGCAGGAAAGGCTGAGCATGAACACCTTTGGAGGGAGAGGGTTATCTTTGTAAACCGGATGGTCAGTGAAGGAAGACTTCAGTGACATGGGACATACAGGCAGACTCCAATGGAGCCTGATGCCTTTAATGCCCGAAGTCTGCCTAGCCTCCTCTAGTGGCTTCATAAGGGACTGCTGATCATTCACCACCTCTCTTAACTCTTGACCTATAAACTGACTCAAGTCCAGGCAGGGCCCAGAAAATAAAGTATAAAGGATGACTTGTCCAGAGTGCACACACTCCCCCAAAATGATGAGATTTAGCCAATGTATAGAAACCCGGGAAACAGATGAGAATGGATCTTAAGGGTGCTGAAATAGTGTAGAAGAAAGATAATATTGGATCGGGGCAAACATTAGATATGGGTGCAGTAAGGAGAGAGAGTGGCTTCAGTGTGCAAGGGCTGAGTTGGCTGAAATCTGTTCCCCAAAGTGGCCAACACTAAACACCGTTGAAAAGCCAGAACTTCCCTACTATACATTCCAATCTTAGCAAGACTGGGATGCTAGCATGGATTTATGCCGTAAGACCTGTTTACCCAGCCTTTGGCTACATCCTACAGATACTCTCTTCATCAAGTTTGTGAGAAGTATGTTCCAGAGGGTGAAGCGGCCTGTGTGAAGAGCTCTGTGTTGTGGGCCAGGAATGGCCGTGGGAACTGCTGCTATCCAATGGGGTTTCCTGAATTCACTGAGGAAATGGGATCTTGGCACAGCAGGGCCCAAGTGGCAACACATAATATCTGGAGACAAGGTGGGAGTTGTGAGCATGATGGACACAACTGAAGCTACAACCAGAATGATCTGGGGAGCAGAGACTACATCCGGCTAAAAGTTTCTGTAGAGCCAAGGAAACCATCAACAAAATGAAAAGGCAGCCCACAGAATGGGAGAAAATATTTGCAAACCACATATTCAATAAAGGGTTAATATCCAAAATATATAAAGAACTACAACTTAATAGCAAAAAAAAGCAAATAACCCGATTGAAAAATGAGCAAAGGTTCTAAACAGACATTTTTCCAAGGAAGACGTACAGATGGCCAACAGGTATATGAAGAGGTGCTCCATGTCACTAATCATCAGGGAAATGCAAATCAAAACCACAACGAAATATCACCTCATACCTGTTAGAATGGCTAGTATCAAAAAGACAAGAGATGAGTGTTAGTGAGGATGTGGGAAAACAGGGAACCCGTGAACATTGTTGGTGAGAATGTAAATTGATCCAGCCTCTGTGCTAAACAGCATGGAGATTCCTCAAAAAGTTGAAAATAGAACTAGCATTTGATGCAGTAATCCCATTGCTGGGTACACATCCGAAGGAAACGAAATCGCTATTTTGAAGAGAGATCTGGAATCCCATGTTCACTGTAGCATCATTTACAATAGCCAAAACGTGGAAACAAGATAAGTGTCCATTGACAGATGGATGGATAAACAAAACGCACACACACATACACACACACACACATACACACACACTGGAATACTATTCAACTCTAAAAAAGGAGGAAACTCTGCTATTTGTGGCAACACAGATGAACCTGAAGGGCACTATGCTAAGTAAAATAAGCTAGACACAGAAGGACAAATACTGTAAAAGGTCTCACTTACATGAGGAATCTAAAAAAGTCAAATTCATAAAAGTAGAAAGTAGATTGCAGCAAGGGGCTGCAGAGTGGGGGAAAGGGGGAAGACACCGGTCAAAGATTACAGACTTCAGTTATATGAAGAAAACGTTCTGGGGATCTAATATACGGGATGGTGCCTATAATTAAAAATGCCGTATGGCATACTTGAGATCTGCCAAGACAGGAGATCTTCAGCATTCTCACCACACACACACACAAAGTAACTGTGCGGTGACGGATGTGCTGATTTAGCTTAACTGTGGTAATCATTTCATAATGTACACATATATCAAATCATCAAATTTACACCTTAAATACATACAATTATTAGTCAAAAAAATAGAAACATTTTTAAGTGCAATTCTTAAAGTAAATAATAAATATCCCAGCAATAATAACAATAATGAAAGACAGAACATTTCATCCTTTTATAAAGTCTCTCCCCTGGTCCTTCTTAATCAATCCTTGCACCCAAGAAACCACTGTTTTTGACTTTTTTCCATGATACATTAGTTTTGCCTATTTTTAAGAATTTTATGTAAATGGAATCATACAACATGTACTGTTTTGAACTTGGGTTTATTTGCTCAATATTGAGATCCCTCCATGTTGCTGTGTGTTTCAGTATTCCTTCCTTTCCATTGCTGGTGGCATCTGTTGTATGAAAATACTACAAATTATTTATCTGTTCTATTACTTTTGGACATTCGGGATGTTTATATTTCCAACTTTGAGCTAAGAATAAAGCTGCTATGAACATTCTTGTAGAAGTCTTTTTGTGAACCTAAGTTTTCAATTGTCTTTAGCAAATATGTAAGAGTGAAATTCCTGGGTCAAAAAGTAAATGTATGGCTAGCCCGGTGGCATAGTGGTTAAATTTGCATGCTCCACTTCGGCAGCCCAGGGTTCGAGGGTTTGGATGCCTGGCACAGACCTACATACTGCTCATCAAGCCATGCTGCGGCACCGTCCCACATACAAAATAGAGGAAGATTGCCAGAGATATTAGCTCAGAGACAATCTTCCTCAAGCAAAAAGAGGAAGATTGGCAACAGATGTTAGCTCAAGGCACACCTTCCTCATTTAAAAAACCCACTAAATTTATATTTAACTTCACAAGAAAGCACCAAACCTTTTTTAACGTTATATATTAAGGATAAAGCCAACAAAAATGACTTAGGTATTTTTAGATGAAAATAAATTATAAATAAAGGTCATTTACTTCACACAAACACCAAAGGCAGAAAAATTCTAACTACAGTCATTTGTCACTTAATGACAGGGATACATTCCGAGAAATGTGTCATAAGGCGATTTTGTCATTGTGTGAATATCAGAGTGTACTTACACAAACCTAGATGGTGTAGCCAGTACACACCTAGGCTATATGGTACTAATCTTATGGGACCACAATATATATGCAGTCATTGACCAAAAGGTTGTCATGGGATGCATGACTAAGAATGAGCAATCACAACAAACAGTTAAGGAATCCTGTGGGCCTCAAGGGCACAGTGGTATAAAAGGAGAATGAGGGGGCCGGCCCCATGGTGTAGCAGTTAAGTTCAAGCGCTCTGCTTTGGCAGCCCGGGGTTCACCAGTTCGGATCCAGGGCATGGACCCAGCACCACTTATCAAACCATGATGCTGGCAGGCATTCTACACATAAAATAGAGGAAGACGGGCACAGATGTTTGCTTAGGGCTAATCTTCCTCAAAAAAAAAAAAAAAGAGAGAGAGAGAAAATGGGGGTAGCAAAGAGGATGCCACTGACCCTTTTGCAAATGCCTTTTTTAAAAAGCTTTCAAGTCCTAAATAGCAACCAAGGGGTTAGTATATATTCTTCCTGAGCCCATCCTAACACTCTGGGAAATAAAAGAAAAAGCAGCTGCCCTCACTGGTCTTGCAATGTATCAGAGCGCAAAGGGGATGCTACACACAGAGCTGTTTCAAAGTGTCTTATAGGAGCAAGGAAGGCACGGTTCACGAGCAGCATGTATCAGAGCAGCATGTATCAGTCAAATAGACATTGATCAAGATATAGGGTATATTCAGAAAAAACTACTTGAAAAATCCTGGCAACTGATGATATTCTAGGTTATCAACTCATAAATTTAGTATTAAACTAGAGATGCACTTTCTCCAAATTTGGCATAAAATAAGAGAGCCTTGTAAAATAATGGCAAAGAAAAACCACTACGTGTCATTGTACCAGCATTTCTAACGGCCTTAAAGCTAGCATGTGGGATTGTCTGAACACATGGCATCTCTTCTCACAGAAGGAAGGCACTGGCACAGTAGCAAGTATGTGCCAATGTCATTATCTGAACCCAAGATGTCTTGCTGTGATATTTGGCTTAACTAAAATATATACAAATATATTCGATAAAAAAGTCTACTCTTTGTCTATACAATTATTCTCCCCAATGTAACCCAGTTTATATCTGAAGGAGTAGAATGCAACAGCAAAATCAGTGATGACACTATGGTACAAAATCTCTATATTTGGGGACACTGGAGGTGACAGGAGAGTATTCCAGCAAATAGGTGCACAGAGTTTATATGCTGACATGAGGTGTCAGAAGTACAATTCTAATCCTGGTTGTCAACAGAATAGGACGTAAGAAAACAGGTGGATTGATTGAAACCACCTCTTCTGGGCATCCTTTTTCCACCTCTCTCAAAAACAACAACAAGGTCTAAAATCTTCTCGGGGCTGTAAAGGTTAAATTGAGGTTAGGCATTCCCTGTGAACCAGTTGGTCTGCGTTAAAATAAAAAAAGAGGGGCCGGCCCGGTGGTGCAGCGGTTAAGTTCGCACGTTCCGATTCTCGGTGGCCCGGGGTTGGCTGGTTCGCATCCCAGGTGTGGACATGGCACCGCTTGGCACGCCATGCTGTGGTAGGTGTCCCACGTATAAAGTAGAGGTAGATGGGCACGATGTTAGCTCAGGGCCAGGATTCCTCAGCAAAAAAGAGGAGGACTGACAGTAGTTAGCTCAGGGCTAATCTTCCTCAAAAAAAAAAAAAAATTTAAAATAAATTTAAAAAAAGAAATATTGATGAGAAAATTGTAGTTTTCTCCCTACTGTCCTTGATTCATAAAATGCATGGTACTATTTCAGAGACTTGAGATTGTGGCTTTGCCAATATCAACACCCCCACACAGTCTGGCTCTGCCCAAGTCCACTATGAGAATTCCCTTTTTACCCTCAAGCATTTCTTCTTAGCTTTGTCTGCTGCTCCTAGCAGCTGCAAAAGTTCCAGGCTGATCCCTCCACCCCTTGACACACCTTGAAGCATCCAGACATGGGGACTTTCTGTGAGCTCTACAAATGTGAAGTGAACAGTAAAGGTACCCAGAAAAAACCTTGGGATTTACAGAAACCTTAAAATTCTGTTAGGTTGCTATGGACAGAGGGAACTCTCTTCAGTCTCCAGGCAAGGCCCTGGTCATTTCAGAGATTCCTTTTTCAGAAGATCAAAAATAAAGGAACAGATTTGTATACCGGATCCTATTAACAATACTTCAGTTTACATCTTATGATAAAGAGTGGCCTCTTACGGAAGGTTGCAACAGATGCAACTCAAACTGATTATTTTCAATATTTAATACATGCTTATGGTCTTTATCTGTGTGCAGGATGTACAATTAAGATACTTTTCATAGGTAATTAATTATAATTATAATTTTGTAGTACTAAACACAGCAGGCTAAATGCTTTCATTGCTCGTCCCCCATAAGCTTTCAAGTGTCTCAAAGTTAATACCACTTTAACTTGGTATTGGATCTTTTAGTTTTTCAGGAGAAGCCAGAAATCCCATCTTAATATGTGTCTCTAAATTTCTAAATGTTGGACATGAAAACAGTGCATTTAATATTTCTAAAATTACTGAGGAATGCCACGTCTTCAACACACGAGTAGTCACCTTTTTGTTCTTCCAAAAAGAAGGTGCATACACTCAACGGCAGGGTTAGCCAGGTAACACACTGGCGGAAAGCCAATAAGTGGAGGACCTGATGCAGGTGGCTCCTGTGACCTGGCCCGAGCAGACCGCTGCCATGTGGGAATGCTGTGTTGGTGCTGCCTTATCTTATAGTTTTTCAAGAGAAGCCAGAAATCCAATCTTAATATGTGTCTCTAAATTTCTAAATGTTGGCAGCTCGTTCAGAAAACCCCATAAGCATATGTACACCAAACACCATGCATCTGTTAGCTGTGCTTGGTCTTGAGGCCTCCAGTTTCTCCAATTTGCAACCTCTCTCTACAGTGACTTTATTCCATATTAATGAGCGATACTTTGAAGAAGGCTCTCAGGTTTTTTCACCATTTTTGCTAATACTTGAACCTATGATAGCAATGAGAAAATGTACTAAAGGATTTATTCCCCATATTGTGGTAGTAGAAATTCTATTCATATTACTTACCCTGCTGACTTCCTTAGGAGCTGATTCATCTGGGGGATTGAGAAGGGAGGAGGAAAAAACACAATTAGAAACTCTGAGTAGGTTCTGAGATACAGGACATTCGTTCACTCTCAGTAAACTAGAAGGCTCTTTCACAATGCTTCCTCTTACAAAATCTAAGAATTTGGCTTTAAAAATCTATAAAGGTTAAACATAAATTTATAGTTAGACACACATGTTAATTTTGGAGAGGAAATGAAATGCCGCAACAACTTGCTAGTCATTTTCAAGATTACCTTCTTAAGTAGTGTCTGCAAATATGGCTGCACTGTAGTTTATTCAAATATATGTATTTAGAAAAGGCTTTGTAACATTTGCAACATTCTCAATGACACAACCCACAGGAAGATCTCAAATGACCATTAACACTTGTGCTGTGAGGGTTAATTTCAGCATTTCTAATTGGCTGGAATAAGACATGAACCTGTGGGACCCTGGTCAAGGCATGAAACACATCTATTAGGAGTGCTGCTTTGGACCATGGGTCCCAGGAGCCGAGAGGCAGTTTGGACCAGCCTGTCAGCATTGTTCATTGGTCAAATGAACTGATGGAATGCACCTGGTCTAGGTGAGACCCTCTGAAGGGCTCTCCCCTTGGGGCTGGCTACATGGCAAGAATATGCCTGAGTGACCGACATGGTACAAGCAACAAACTAGCCAAGACTCCACTGTAGGACCACCGGTTCTGAGTGTCCCACGCCCAGGTCACTGGTTCTGACCCAGAGAAAGTGCATTTATGTGGCCCTTACCAAGGAAGAGAGACTGGAGCCAGCCTCGCCAGACCCCTCAGTGGGAGGCAGCCTTTAATTGAATGCTGTTGCTGTCTTGTGTCTCATTTAGCAATCAAACCCTAACTACCACCATTAGAGCACACTTAACATGCCCCCAATCTAACGTATTCCGTGTTCCTCCAAAGCATGGCCTACTTTCTCTTGACACTGACAAAAACATGTCCCGTGGGTTCACACAAGGTTGTGGGGATCCTTTCTCCTTCAACATCCTTATTAACTGAACTGCTGAGTCCTGTTGTTTCCTCCTTTTTCTAATCTTTCTCTGATTTACTGCTTACCACCCGTTTCCACAGATAACACCAAGACAAGTCCCAAGTCATTTACCAAGCAGCAGCCTCCAAGCTGGTCCCTGAATCCAGTATCTGCCCATCATGCCTACACACACACACACACACACACACACACACACACACGCACTCTCACCCACCAAGTCTGTCTTTCAAAAACAGTCTATCTATCATGCCCCTTAGATGCTCAGAATCTAAAGGAAACCAGATTTCAACACTAGTTGCACACTGACTTTGCCTGGGAGCCTTTTAAAAATTACCAAGCTTGAGACGATCAGATAGCAGGTATTCAATAAACAGTACCTAATTTTTGGATTATTGTATTAATACATACTTGCTTACATATTTTCTTGTAATTGCTGCAAAATGGCTTGAGTATTGCATCTGATTGCCCTAAGAATGCAAGCATGTTGTAGGAAAAACATTGATTTTATCTTCTATAATGATGTCACATTGCAGAAATTTTTCCTCTGCCCTTCATGTCCTGACCCCTTGTTCTCTCCTGAACCTCTCTGAAGATGGGTCTCTGATATAATCATTAGAACAAATTTACAAACAGCTTCTAAACTTACAAAGGCTCATATAGGTTTTTAATTTTCTTAAGTTTTTATCTAAGAAATCAATGAACATCGTTTCAAAATTCGAAGCGGATTAAAAGGCACTTGATGAAAAGTAGCAGTTGTACAAACAGGTTTTCTACTAGGACGGCATGGAGTTGCCAAGCCGTAACACTGGAACCTTCCACTATCCAGCAGACATCACTAAGTTCTGAAAGTTAGTTCAAGGGAAGAATAGTGTGCATGTCCAGACATCTGTAAATAAATGTTACCTTTTCTTTTTTTTTTGGTGAGGAAGATTGGCCCTGAGCAAACATTGTTGCCAATCTTTTTGCTTAAGGAAGATTTGCAGTGAGCTAACATCTGTGCCAATCTTCCTCTCCTTTAAGTAGGACACTGCCACAGCATGGCTTCATGAGCAGTGCTAGGTCCATGCCCAGGATCTGAACCTGCAAACCCCCAGCCGCTGAAGCACAGGGCATGAACTTAACCACTATGCCAGTGGGCTGGCCCCAATAAATGTCACTTTAGTTTTGCTTGGTACTTCTCAAACTTGAGTGTGCATGAGATACTCTATAGTACATATGTATAAAAATCAACTATTTTTCACTCTATGGGCAGCTTGATGTATTTGAAAGAAAAATTTTACCTAGAGCTGATTTCTGGATTTCTCACTGTGCATGCTGATTCAGAAATGTACGCTCTCTCTTCCTCCAACATGAAAGTCAAGCAATTTTTTTTTCTAAAGATTGGCACCTGAGCTAACAACTGTTGCCAATCTTTTTTTTTTTTTCCTGCTTTATCTCCCCAACCCCGCCTCCCCCGTTCATAGTTGTACACCTTAGTTGTGGGTCCTTCTAGTTGTGGGACGTGGGACGCCGCCTCAACGTGACCTGACAAGCAGTGCCATGTCCGCACCCAGGACCCGAACCCTGGGCCGCCGCAGCGGAGTGCACGATCTTAACCACTCGGCCACGGGGCCAGCCCCACAATTTTTGTTAAATGAATGTCAAGTCTATTATATTTAAGCCACATGGTATTTTAGCTGAGGAAATTAATTAACACAGTGAAATTTGCTAGGAGAAGGGAACTCTGCTTCCTATTTCCTATATTAGGAACTTTCATTTATTTGAACTCTATTGCCCAAGGGAAATTTAAGCATGTCGAAGATAGTTCATTTAATTTCTCTCTGCAGTGGAGGGGCACTATAGAAGGGTATACAAGAGGCAAAATGGACTACGGTTTAAAGACCAGATCTGCACTCATTTGCCATATTACTTTGGGCAAAGTGTCTGACTTATTTTGCCACCTTATCAGTCTGAACTGAAACAACATCTTGACAACGTAATTTGATTCTGAAAAACATCATCTAAGAATTCCAGGTTAAGAACCCAGAACTTAGGGGCCGGCCTGGTGGCATAGTGGTTAACTTCGTGAACCCTGCTTTGGTGACCCAGGGGTGCGCAGGTTCAGATCCCCGTGAGGACCTACGCACTGCTCATCAAGCCACGCTGTGGTGGCATCCCACAAACAAAAGAGAGGAAGATTGGTACAGATGTTAGCTCAGCGACTGTCTTCCTCAAGCAAAAAGAAAATTGGCAACAGATGTTAGCTCAGGGCCAGTCTTCCTCACACACAAAAAAGAAAACTCATGACTTAGGAGGCCTCCTTCTAGAGACCCATGATTCTGGACCATGTCTGTACACTCCCAATATGCACTCATGACCTAACTGCTGGATTGGCATTTCCCATGGTTCAGCAACAAAGCTCGCTTTAAAACAAAAGGGGAAGGGATCGTGGAAAAGGAGGAAAATTGCCATGGATACCAGATTTTGAATCATTCATGAGCATCAAATTGCAACAAAAATGTTCACAACAGCAGAACCCCCAATACATTTTGCTTATTCGACTCAAAATCGTCATACCTCCAAACAACAAACATTTGTTGAGGGCGAAGCGCGTGACACCTCTGTAGATGCTTATAACATATCAGAGAACAAAAAAGGATGATAATCCCTACCCTCAGGAGGCTTTATTCTAAAGGCAGGAGATGGTCCATAACCATGACAAATAACTAAGTTATGCGGCAAGTTGGCAGCGGGAAGTGCTTTGAGATGGGAAACACAGTAGAGCAGGTTAAGAAGGATCAGAAAGCAGTGGGGGAGGAGGTTGGGGACAGGCAACAGGCTAAAAGAGTGGTTAGTGTAGGTCTCCTGGAGAAGCTGAACTGTAATAGCCACTTCCTAAGGGAAGCACATTCCAGCAGACGGAGCCGCCTGAGCAAAGACCCTGAGACACAAGTGTGCCGGCTGCTCTTGCCGAAGTTAGCTCCTCCTCCTTTCCAAATCCTGAAGTTTTTCAAGACTCAGCTCAATGTGTGTTTTGTCCAAGAGGCCCTCTGGAAAGCAACAGGTCCGCTATCTCTCTTTCCTCAGAATTCTTAGGCACTCCTTTGCTGTTAGGAAAGCAGAGTGCTACGGAAAAAAAGAAGATGGGCCTGGAGTCCGACCAGATCTGTTTTCAAATCTCAGCTTCGCTTAGAAGCCACACATGGGTTTCTCGACCTTTCCAAACTTGGTGACCTCATATTCGTAAAATGAGGTCATGGCAGACGGTGTTAGGATTAACTCACTGAGTTAATATACACAAAGTACTTGCACAGAGTGGACGCTCAATAAATTTCAGTTTTGTTTCTCCCCATTCAACTGGGCATTAGTTATAGTCTGCCTTCTGTCGATAACTAGATTCATGTGAATGACCTCTTACCTGGATAGAAGTTCTTGGAGACAAAAGACCACATCTACTATTTCATTTACATTACTGAAAAAAAATGGCATTCCAAAAAATGATTCTTGAATGACTAAAAAATAGATGATGATGCTTTTGCACACAGAGTATTTTTTTCTTCAGACAGCAGCAGAGTGGTAAAACACTAGAAGATTATTAGTTCTGCTAGTGGTTGAAAATCTCTCAGCCTAACTATTAAATACACTTCCCAAATCACTTCGTTTTTGTTTTCTTTCTTGAATTTTCTAACATTAAAAGCTAGGCATTTATGGAAGAACATGAGCCGTGTAATCAAGAATGCAGTACCAAGTTAATTGGTTTCTGCCAACACACCCTCTACTTTGCAGAGTTACTGATGAGGAAACACGAAATAAACCACAAATCACTCAATAACTGGAAGGTACAAGGAACTATATACTTGGGATATGCTTGGTCAGAAAAAAAAAGGGGGGGAAAGGATATATATATTCACAAGCTGTCATAAAACAGGAAAAGCTATTATTTTTTCCCTGAAAGATTACATTGATTTTTCAGTTACTTGTAGAATGACATTTTCTAGCACATACTA